CATGCTGTGGCAAAGATGACCATTGGCAGCTTTGTAGTTACGCCGTACCACTTGAGTAATAGTAGTAGCAAAAGAATACCTCTTCTTAAGAATTTCAGCAAAACTCTTGGAATGCCCTCTTGTTGGAATAACTTTGGTAAAGTGCCTAGCCATGAGTTAATTTTTGTTGCCAGACAGATGGAGTAGGCTTATCGGCAAGGCTTATGTCGGGTACCACTTCCCTGGACCCCAAAAGGTGGAGTCGGGTCCGTCCAAATCACAGAAATCAGAGTGAGGGAGGAACACTTTTCCAAATGAAAATCAGGGTTATTAGAATAAGAAGACATGAATGCTGGGCACATAAAAGCAACAGGACTTCAAAGATATCCCAAACAATTGATGGCGATCTATGAAGGAATAGTTGTGACCTCCAAAGGGTGGGTGGGTATGAGGGGTGGAGATGAGGACTCGGGGGACATACACTCCACAGTGCTTCAACTTGCATGTGAGAAAGTTTAGTCACGTGGGCACACCTCACTGCAACACAGGAGCTACAAGGCATTTCCTAGCTATGCCATCATAAGACCTCCCTAGAAAGAGAGAATAGATTTTAATCAACAGCTGTCAGTTCCCAATACAAAGAGGAATTTACTTAGGGAGATATGAAGGGATGCACAGAGGAGGTGACATCTGAGAGAAGAGTAGCAATTAAACCAGGAGGAGAATGGTTGTGAGGTGTCTGTGTGTTTCAGCTCTGGACTGGAGACGCAGTGACCCAGAGAAAAGTACATGTGTAAATTTACAGGCCGATTTGGGAGGATTTATGCCCCAGCATTCACACTGTCACCCCAAGGCTTAGGACAGGAAGAAGAGAAGAGGGAGATTATTAATTTTTTCTTCATGTAACTATATAATTTAATTTGACACGATGAATTGCTTTTGTATTGCATTTTGTAATATTTTAGTCCCATAAAATATGTAATATTTTAGTCCCATAAAAATGTAATATACTTGCATTGCTTTTGTAATATTTTAGTCCCATAAAATAAAGTAAGGTATTTGCAGAAAAATGGCATCTAATACAATGGAATTGTAGATCTAAAAGAGAACTTCAGCATCATTCCTAGAAGCTGAGAGAGGTAACTTAAATCTCATCCAACAAACACTGGGATTAGAATTCAGGTCACTTGGTTTAAAAAAATATATGAGCTTTTATAATACAACCATCCTTTATATTTTCCCCACCTTTTCTTTGTGTGAATAATGTCTGTTTATTGAGCATGTACTGAATGCCTGGCACTGTGTTAAGTCTTGAAAACATTGCCATGAACATTGCATTTATGGGCTCTGGGCTCATAGTTTCAGTCCAGCTTAAGTTCACTCATAAATGTCTGTCAACTATTAAAGACAATGTAAACAATAGGTAGACTATCTATTTTTCAGGTATTTGGTTACTAGAAAAAGTTAAATTCGAAACCACGCAATTATGGTTACGTGGTTGTCCGGTATCTGGGTAGTAATTTTGCTGCTGTTGTTTCATTCACTTGGATGCAATGTGATATGTAAAAATTATTTCTACTTGAGATGGTTGCATCGTCTCATTTAGCAACAACTTCACCTTAAATTATCTACCTTTCAGCCACGTTAGGTGACCAATACTGAGAACAGTGTTAGACCTAAGTTAGAAAGAGGAGAACAGGAAGTTTACTATTCTCAAGTTAAGTCCTTGTGGAGATGTCCTTTCCAAGAGACAAATGTCTGCAATAATCTTCCACTGGGATGTTTTAACTATTTGTTATAACGAAATAAACACTATAGGAGAGATATAAATTCAAACTTTATCATGACCCATGACTTTGTAAGATACTTTCAGATTTCCCTGGAGCTTTATTTGAAATTCCAAGGAAATACAAGACTTATTCAGGTAAAAGATGGGGAAAGTGAAGTGGAAGGACAGGGGAATTCACTCAAACACTCTACCTGAAATAAGCTTATGTTTGAGTTGGGTGGATAAGGTTAGTTTCTTCTGGACCCATTTCTAATTTGATGCTAGAAAAAGATTTTTGAAAAGATTTTTAAAAAGTCTACTTCACTTTTAAATGCCTTAGTTTTCCAGTTGAACACTTCTTCCCCCAACATGAGCTAAGGCAACGTAGTAAATTACATATTACTCGGTTGGTCTTTGAACTTTCCAGCTGTAATTCACTGTTATGAAGCAGAAAAACACAGATCTATACTTCATTGGTCAGAAAGCTTTTGTACTGTTATAGGTCCAATTTCATACTTTAGTTTTATGGTACAAAAGACACGTCATGATAATATGTCTCTCTGATTATTTCTTGGCACCAATGAGGACTTTTGTTTTCTCAAAAACAATCCTATCAGTCATCACCAAAAAAATTGGCCTTAAATGTAATTCTGGACCTAAAAGCAATTCTGCACATCTGGTCTCTCTTCTCCCAGTGAGTTACATCTTCATAGGATTTAAAAAATAATAATTGAGAGTAACCTTCAGGTGTGGTTGGCAATAAGCACATATGTCTTCATATGTTGGAGAAACAAGAGAAGGCGGAGGGGCAATGAGGTGGTCATGAAGAAATAGGTGTCTCTGGAACCAATTAATTAATTAACTCATTAATTAATTCCACAAGCATTTATTGAGTGCTTGCTACATAAAAGACACTGTACTAGGTGCTGGTAATTTAAAAATGAATAAGATAGATATCCCTGCAATAATAGAAATGAGACTCAGGCAAGACAATCATTAGTCTCAAAAATACTTATTTGCCATTAATATTGTGACCCATACTATGTTGAAAAGTTACAAGGTATTAGGAGATCATATTTCAGAGGGGTCTCAAGTGGACTGAGGAATCCAGGAAGACATCCTCCATGGGAAAATGACATTTAAACGAAATTTCTGAAAGATAAATGGAAGCCAGTGAAATGAGGGGCAAAGGAGAAGAGGTCCAGACGGAGAGACCAGCACGTCCAAAAGACTAGAGGCAGAACATGATGCATTTGAGGGGCTAAAAGGCAGAAGGTAACGCTCAGATTTACAACTCCAGGTCTTCACCTTCCCATGAAATCCATTCTCTTCTATCTAGTTGTCAAGGTGACATCTTCACCTGGATGTCTAATCGACAGCTCCAACTCACCAAGGACAAAACACAGCTCTTGACTTTTTCTCCTAAAACCTGCTCTTCCTCCAATGTTTGGCATTTTAGCATCGCTATTTACTTAGCTGCTTAGACCCCCAAACCTTGGATATTTAAGTCTTCTGTTGCTCTCACATTCACTCCCTTAGCAAATTCTGATGGATATGCATTTAAAACATCCCCGCATACAGCTGCTTTTCAACAGCTCTTCTCCAGCTGCCTCGGTCTAAATCACCACCTTCAGGCCAAAGCAAGAGCTTTCTGACTTCTCTCTCTGTCTCCACCTTTGCACTGCCTCAGTCTATTCTGCAAGCATGAGCAAAGCGTAGCTTTTAAACATCAATCAGATCCTGGGACTTCCCTGTTCAAAACCCTGCAAGGACTTCCTGTGACATTTGGACTCCAACTCACATGCTGTCCTACCTTTTCTGGCCCTGCCTACTTTTCATTTACCATCTTATGCCACTCTCACCTTCCTTCATCTGTCCCCAAGATTCCTCTTGTTCCTCACAAGGTGCAGTGCATGCCCCGAGCTCTACCTTTAATGCTGTCCCGCTGGGTCTGTGCATGGCTGTGCCTTCACCTCACTTAGGTGTCTTTTAAAAAGTCTCCTTCTCAGAAAGGTCCCGAGCACCCTAACTAAAAAAGCACCCTTCTGCTACTTGCCTGTTTTATTTTTCTTTATAGTATTTACCTCTACCTGACATTGTATTAGAGATTCCATATTCATTTGTTTTATTGAAGACATGGTCCTTATTCCTTTGGCATATTTTCTCTAGTATGTCAATAAATATTTGTGGAATGAATGAATGAAAGCCAGTATGGCTGATATATGGTAAATGAGGAGAGGAGTGGTACAAGTGAGGCAGGCAAGGTAGGTGTTTTTAAAATATGTAAAGCATTGTAGGCCATCTTAAGAAGTTTGTACTTTTCCCTAGAAGTGAGAAGCCATTGAAGATTTTAAGAAGGAGCAGATACAACCTGATTTACATTTTAAAAAATTTTCAATGAAATTGTCTGTGAGCTTGAATGTTTTATTGACCTCAGGAATAAATTCAATGGACCTGTCGTAAATGAATGTATTTTCAGTTGCTTCATATAACTCTGTTTAACAAAAATCACTTGTGTGAGATTAAAAATAACTCCTTCTATAGAGCAGAATAACCTGATATCATGTAATTTTTAGTCTAGAGGGGCAATAACTGCTATATGACTTTTAGGATAAAAACATTATTTTAAAATAATTAAAATTTTATTATTACCAAACAAAATATACTTTCTTATACTTTTATATATTATGTTAAGCCTTGATAGACTTAGTTTACTTTATCCTTATAAGATAGTGGTTTAAACAGAATGCCTGTTCTGAGGTAGAGGATAAAAATGAAAAGAGCCTTTAGGGTTTTTTGAATGAAGACTGGACTACAGCCTAGCACAGCATTTAAAAATTTTTGTTCTATGGGCTACTGACATCTCCCAACATATGCAGAGGTATTTTATGTGAATAGGATTCTGGTGCCAGACAGGTTTCAGAAAGGATGGGTTAAACGAGATTGTGCCTTTAATTCAGGATTTCCAGAGCCTGTAATTTACTAATGTGCGCTCGGAATCCTAGGGTGGGGACCCAAGCAGCATTTCCCATTGCCACCTCTTCACAGAGCCCCTCTTCTGCAGAACATGGTTTGGGAATTGCTGATGGACTGAGACCCAAGGGACGTTGGTATAACGCCCAGCGTACTAGCAGGGTGGCTTCATAGGTGGGCAACCTGGGCAGTCCTACAAGGCCCAGCTCTCAGAAGGGGCCCTGTGTCTGGTTAACGCTCTGCTGGCACCATCTAAGTGTTCACTGTGTCTGAACTCGAGTTTTGTAGGTGAAGTCCGAAGGGACACTGGAGCATGCGCACAAGCAGAGGCGTGGCACTGAACGCAGCGTACGTACAGGAGGGGCGAGGCCCTCGCGGCCCCGAGCGGCGGACCAGGCACGCCCAGCGTTCATGCGCCTTGGGCCAGTCCGGGCGCCCGGGGGTTCAGAGGAGGCAGCTGAGGCTGGAACCTGGCTCCGCACTGATGGGGCCCATGAATGCAGCAGCAGTGGCCGCCGCAGCACCCTGACTCCCAGGAGAGAGGAGGGCTCCACTTGGGAGCAGCAGCACGACAGCGTGGGAGGCCTGCTTGCCTGTCGTTCCCGTGGCCAGTCTACTTCCTGTGGCGTCTGCAAATGTATTAACTTTCAGGCCTGAGCATTGGGACAGGACCTGCTGGCACTCAGGTAATAAGCTAATCAGCAAATATTACAAAATAAAATTGTTCACATGGATAGCCCAGTAAAGCATAATCAGGGAGTTGCCAGAATTCTCCAAAGATTTCATAATCTCTGGTTTTGAAAACTTCTGTGATTGCAAAACAAATTCTGCATTTGTAGACTTAGAAATTAAATTTAAAGATCGTCACAGCCATTGGAAAACAATGCTATTTTCGAATAAAACTTTGGATGAACCAATTATTAAGAGGAAGACAGTTTTAAAAATTCCTCATGACTGGAGATAGAAAGCACAAAGAGGCACTTTGAACTATGCGAAAGTCATGAAGCCAGTTTCGGGTTTTGGTACAAACTCCACAAGTTACAGGAAATGTCAGAGGAAACGTTAAAATGCCATTGTATAAATTTACATTTACATCTAAATTCAGACTTACGTGAAACTGGTACATGTGAAGAATTAAATCTTTCCGCAAAATTGCTCCACAAGAATCATTAGTTCTAGATGTACTAAAATTTATATTTTGAAATAATTTATCCAAAATTTATTTCTTTCTTGTCACAGTCTATAAAATATTCTTAACAGCTCTATTAACAGTTGCATTAGCAGAAGGATCTTTCTCTAAATTAAAAATTACCAAATTATCTGTGGTATTCCATTTGCCAAGAGTAGCTGACGTCACTTTCAATTATATCAATTGAAAATTAAGTTGCTAACTGTATAATTTTAATGAACTAATAAAAGTAGTTTCAGCAATCCAAGTTTCAGTAATCTTGTAATCCAAGATTACAATTAATCAAGATATAATATAAAATATTATTTTAAATTTTATCATATAAAATTTTAAACCAAAATGATTTTTTTGCAATTTGTAAGTTTATGCTGGGACTCGTATATCACTATTACCCTTGTTACGTTTTATAAATATTAACATAGTTTTAACATAGTTTTAAGAGAAAACTTTGTTTTTCTGCTTTTTTTAAAATTGAAGTATAGTTTATTTACAAAAATAGTAGTTCCAACGTACTGATTCAGTATTTTTATCGATTATATTCCATTTAAAGTTATTATAAAATAATGCTATATTTCCCTGTGCTGTACAATATATCCTTGTATCTTATTTTTTGTACATAGTAATTTGTACCTCTAATCCTCTCTCTCTATTTTGCCCCTCCCCCAATCCCTTTCCCCACTGGTAACCAGTAGTTTGTTCTCTGTATCTGTGAGTCTGTTTCTGTTTTGTCATATTTATTCATTTGTTTTATTTTTTAGATTCCACATATAAGTGAAATAATACAGTATTTGTCTTTCTCTGTCTGACTTATTTCACTAAACGTAATACCCTCTAGGTCCGTCCATGTGGTTGCAAAGGGCAGAATTTCATTTTTTTTAATGGCTAACATTCCATTGTATGTATACACCACATCTTCTTTATCCATTCGTCTGCTGATGGAAACTTAGGTTGCTTCAATACCTTGGCTATTGTAAATAATGCTGCTATGAACATTGGGGTGCATGTATCTTTTTGAATTAGTGTTTTCATTTTCTCTGGGAGTGAAATTGCTGGATCATATGGTAGTTCTATTTTTGTATATTTTTGTGCTTTTATTGTACTTTTCCCCTGCTTTTTGAACAAGGCGTCTCACATTTTCATTTTGTAGTAGGGCCCAGCAAATTATGGGCATGCAATGTTGAAACAAAGTTGTTCATGCAACTTCCCTGAAGGGCGTTTTGAAGGAAGTGTCAAGGTAGTGGACAAATGCGTGATTTGTGTTAGGTTTGGATTCTGTAGCAAAATTTGCACTTTTTACCAAGCAAGCTTTAAAATCCTTCTCACTTCCATAGCACATAAGAACCTGGAAGGCAATGTAGGCCAATAGCTGAGAACATAGAAGATACAAAGAAAAGTTTGCACATCTGGCATTGTCAGTAGAATTATTAGCAGTTGGTTTCCTTCAAGAATTAGAAAAGTCAAGGTCAACTCCTGACAGCAGAAATACAACAGAGTTCCGTAAATGAGAAGAGGTATCTTTAGGGTTGGGTACTTCCAAAATGTCAAAAGGATGACTTTTATGTAAAGCCTGAGAACAGGTGAGGTGGAATCTTGGAGTGTGTTTTTGTGAAAGCTGTGTGTGTGTGTGGTGTTGTATGTGTTGTCATGGAGGTAGCGGTGGAGATGGTGGTGGTGATCATGGAAGGGATGACTTGCCTGTGGAGATAAGAGGGCACCAGAGCATGAAGGACCTAACAGGCCATGTTATGGATTTGGGGCTTTATTTTAGAGAATCGGATGGTCCTATAATTCTGGAAGCAAAACACTATTTTTTCAATAATCTTTTGGCTCATTATGTGATGTGGAATAGTTTCCCACAGCATATTTCAATAGTTTACTAAAGAGAACTGTTGATTGATGACATCATCTTTGTGAATCAGGAGGTGCGATGAAAATTATAGCTTCCTTACTTTGTGAAGAATTTTCACAGGTTGTTTCCCATAGGAAAAATTGGGCCAGTCTTTGTTCTAAGAAAGCTCCATGACTGTGTGGGATGCTTTATGGCTTGTTTCACTCCGTTTGATGAATGGATAAAGTGCTTTGAGCAGGCAACCAGAGCAATAGCTGTAACAATGAGCCTGAGTAGATGAGAGGAATAATTTTAATATCATGATTTTATATTGATGAATGTTTTCCCAGCCCTGACATAATGTAATAGATTATACAACCTCGGTGACTACTGATAAACTTTGTTTTTAACGTGACCAGACATTGAATTTAAAAATTCAGGTATAAGGAACAGGACCTGTAACCCAAGACATTTAAGCAAACTTAGAGGCATGTCCTAAGAACTTAAAGAACTCTCAAATTTGCAAAAAATACTAGATTATCTAATTTTTTGTATAATTCAATAAAGTATAACAAAACTATAATGTGACATCTTGAGAGCTTAATTAAACATTCCGTTCTAAACTTCCTTATAATTTTTGGCCAAGAACCATTCACTTTTTTTTCATTACCATTACCAGCACTAGCAATTGGCTTTCTTTTCATGACCATATTCCACCAAGAAACAAAACTTTATTACTTCTCAGGAAATGCTGAATAAACAATGATGAGTAAAACAGGAGAGGCAGATTTAAATGCTTGAAAAACACTGGCAGTTGACATAAATGAAAAAAGAGAACCATTTTAAAAAATTCAGATGAATATTCTTTTACTTTAAGAAACATAATGAATCAAGTATAATAATAAAAGGCAACTTAACCTGGTTTCATCTGGGAATAATACAGAGTAAGGAGTGTGGCAAACTAAAGAGTACACATCCAGCTAATTCTTGCCACATAGGAATTTTTTACGAGAAGCTATAAATATTTTCTTTTTTTAATTAAAAAGAATCTGACTTCTTTCAGTTTTTAAACCTTGGCTAGATTTTTAAGTGCCACGAAAACCAAACAAAATATGTCAGCAGGCTGATTAACCCCAGAGGCAGCCAGTTTGTGAATGCTTGAATACAGAATAATCCAGGCCCACTGAGATGTTACACTAGACAGTTTACTAGAACGGTGTTCTCCAAAGAGGGATATGGAAGGAGAAAGGGAAGGGGGAGGGGAGAGAGAGAGAGACACCAAGCTCAAAATGTTTTATTAATAAGGGTGAGCAGTCAAAGAAGTTGAGATCCTGGCTGTGCTAGACTCACCAGCTATAGCACACCAGCCTTACGACTCATGAGATTCACATTACTTTCTCAGCAAAATTAAAAAAAAAAACTACTATAAACCTTCGGGGTAGCTTAAGACCGCCTGAAACTGCATCTATAAAATGCCATGCATCTATTATATCTTAATTTTACTACCAATCAATTATCTTACAGAAATCTAGGACAAAATTGAAGGCTGTTTCTTACTTTAAGGATGAGGAGATTTAACTCATATCAGTGTCAAACTAGAACATTTCTTTGATGGAGCAATATCTGTTTTAATGTTTACATGAATTATTAGGATTATAGACTAGAGAACAAATGAATTGTTCTAGTGACCTTTGGAAATATGGAGAAAAACTCATGTACAATGTGTTTCCATGAGAGTAGTTTTCCTTATTAATTGCCTAGAGCCCTAAAGAATTATTTATCCAAGGCCTACTCTATCATGCCCTTACTTTATGGAGCTAAGGGGAGGCTCACAGAGAGCAGAACTGCCCGGTGGTTTTTCCATGTTTCATTCTGTTTTCTTTTCAGGGAAGGAGTAAATCTCACTGTGATCTCACTGATGAATAGGCAGTCTTCAGTCTGGTAGCATTAAACAAGCACCTGTTCATTCTGATGATTTTATGATGGCTTGTTTCATTTCAGTTTATTAATACATAAAAAAGTCTGAGTAGTTAGAAGTCTTGAGCCCTTCCTATGTTACTGCTGCTACTAGATAGTTATATATATCATGTTGAATCTACATAAAAACACCAAAAGATTGATGTTACAATCTCCACTTTGTACTAGAGCAAAATAAGCCTCAGAGTGGAAAACTTCTGAAAGGCACAGAGCTAGTTAGTGGCTGAGCCATGATTTGAACCTGGGTTTTCCTGACACTGAAATCTGGGTTCTTTACATCATACAGCATTGTCTGTCAGTTCACTCAATGCTTCTGTTGATTCCAAGGTGCTTTTTCCCCCTCCATTTTAACCTCTCTGAAATAGAGATTCACTTTACAATTAATATAGGTCATAGTTAGCAGCATTTTTGTTCTTTCTTAGTGTCACATAAGATAAAAGTGTGTTTTACAATTAATGGAGTCTTTTACTTTATGAAGCATGGTAAGCATTCCAAGATCTGGCAGCTAGAAAATGATGGAACTATGATCTAAACTTGGAAACCTGGAGAAGGTCAAGGAACAAGATTAATAAAGAGAAGCCCTCTAGCTTCCCAATTTCCCTTTCTCTCTCCCTCCCTTCCTCCCTCCCTCTCTCTCTGCACCACCCTCTCTCCTTTTCTTTTACAAGAGAGCACCTTGTTTCTCTGGAATC